GACTTGATGGTATTCTCCAACAGATCTAGGGCTGCCCCCCCAAACACGAAGGCCTTGGAAACCCAGCCCTGCAGTGTCCTTTGCACTGACTCAAACCACCTCTGGCTCTCCTGAGCCTCTGAAGGCCCAAGTGCTCCTGTGTCCAGCCTCTAGCCTTTCTGGAACATCCGATTCTGACTATTCAGCCACCCGGGGTACCATCAGCCAGAACAAACTGTGCATCCCAGGCCAGGACAGTACTCACACAGTGCCTCCGCAGGGTGTACGAAACCGATGAAAGGTGACACTTGCCCTCATTTCAGAGTAGAGCAAGCTTTCATGCCTACTCACGCAGACCTTGCCGGCTGGCCTGGCGCCGGACCCCAGCACTGCACTCCTAAATCCAGTGTCTGTGCCCCAACCCTTCTGAAGAAGTTTCACCTTGGTGTCCTAAGGTCTTAGGGAATCTATTGCCCAAACTCCCTATTTCCGATCCCCAGAGTACAGCCCAGCAGACACCAGGTGCCAATACTAAAGTACCTGGACAGGAGTCTCAAGTGTCTGCTGTCAGCCCATACTGGGAGTTTCATGAGAGGGGCTAGGAATTGTCTTGTCAGTCAGAAGAGGGGGTGGGAGGAGAGGAGAGGATGTGATGACCACCCTATTGTCATTTGGGATTTTAAAAAGCATTGAACTTGGCCGGGCGCGGTGGCTCAAGCCTGTAATCCCAGCACTTTGGGAGGCCGAGACGGGCGGATCACGAGGTCAGGAGTTCGAGACCATCCTGGCTAACACGGTGAAACCCCGTCTCTACTAAAAAATACAAAAAAACTAGCCGGGCGAGGTGGTGGGCGCCTGTAGTCCCGGCTACTCGGGAGGCTGAGGCAGGAGAATGGCGTAAAAACCCGGGAGGCGGAGCTTGCAGTGAGCTGAGATCCGGCCACTGCACTCCACCCTGGGCGACATAGCGAGACTCCGTCTCAAAAAAAAAAAAAAAAAAAAAAAAAAGCATTGAACTTCTAGAATCCCAACTTGCCAAGTGTACTCAAGTGCAGGCAATTTTACCCCTAAGAAGGCCTTTGGCAATCTCTGGAGCCATTATTAATGGTTGCAACTAGGGTGGGGGGATCCTACTGGCAGCTGACGGGCCAGAGTTGCTGCTAAACATCCTCCAAAGAATTACCCGGCCCCAAATGTCAACAGTGTTGAGGTCAAGAAACCCTGCTCTAGGTAACCGCAGGCTCATAGGAATCCTAACTGAACCCAGAATTACCCAAGGAGGCAGTTAAAGCCTAAATTCAGAGGCTCTATTTCCAGATGTTGTCCTGGCCGAGTGCCCAAGAATTCTAGAGATAAGTAAACCCAAGACATAAGCTCCAAAGATGCCCAGAGAAAGAAGACAGTGTGGAGGAAGTCCCTGACCCTTCCACAGTGACCTCTGAGTCAGAGAAGAGCTTCTGAGCCACCATGAAAGCCTATAGCTTGGTTTAGGAAGGACATGTGCTGGGAATTAAAATGGGAGCCATAAAGACTACCCAGGATATTCCAGAGAATGTAGGAATGTAGGGAACACGTATTCCTGATGGCCTCAGAAAAATGACATCTGGGCCAGGTGCGGAGGCTCATGCCTGTAATCCCAACACTTTGGGAGGCCTAGGCGGGCAGATCACCTGAGGTCTGGAGTTTGAGACCAGCCTGGCCAACATGGTTTCACCGTCTCTACTAAAACTACAAAAATTAGCTGAGCATGGTGGCACACGCCTGTAATCCCAGCTAACTGGGAGGCTGAGGCAGAAGAATCTCTTGAACCCTGGAGGCAGAGGTTGCAGTGAGCCAAGATCACGCCATTGCTCTCCAGCCTGGGTGACAAGAGCAAAACTCCATATCGAAAAAAAAAAAAAAAAAAAAAAAGATATCTCCGCTACTGAAGCTCTATGGCTGACTTCCCCTTTCTGAGAGCCCATTGGAGAAGGGACGGAGGAGGCAGGCACTCCCAGGACACACTGTCCAAGTCACGTTGTGACATTGTACTTTGGTCCTAAATGGCTTGATAGGTCAAATCTAAAGGACAGACTTCATGCTCCATTTCTGCCAGGTTGTTCAGTCATCCTCAGTCCCCACTTCCCTCCTTTTAAGCTGAGAATCACCCTGACGATAGGCCATTTTTTCCAGGGTTCCTATACCCTAGATCGACGCCTTGTATAGTCCAAAACCAGGGTCCTAGGATCTCATTTGCTGCTCTCTCTTCTTCAATCCACTTCCGGGGCCATTCACATACCTGGCTTTCCAGATCGGTCCTTGATTGCACCTGTGTTTGACTTGCTTTAAAAGTACATTATGTATAGAACCACCTGGCTGCCTGGCTTGGGAGGGCATCTGTAGCCTGGCCAGTTGCCCCAGCCCTCATGACAACAACTTCCTCCTTGTGTCAGCCAGTACCTTGTGTTGCAGGTGCCAACGTGTCTCCCAGGTGAACCCTTTCAAGTCATGAAAGAACGCTCTAAACCATGAGCAGGTTTCCTTCCTTCTTTCTTTTCTTTCTTTCTCTCTTTCTCCTTCCTTTCTTCCTGCCTTCCTGCCTTCCTTCTCTGTCTCTTCCCTTTCTTTCTTTCTTTCTTTCTCTTTCTTTCTTTCTTTCTTTCTTTCTTTCTTTCTTTCTTTCTTTCTTTCTTTCTTTCTTTCCTTCCTCCTTCCTTCCTTCCTTCCTTCCTTCCTTTTTTTGAGATGGAGTCACGCTCTGTCACCCAGGCTCAAGTGCAGTGGTGTGATCTTGGCTCACTTCACCTCCCGGGTTCAAGTGATTCTCCTGCCTCAGCCTCCTGAGTAGCACACATCTTTCTCCCTCCCTCCCTCCATCCCTCCCTTCCTGCTTGCTTGCTCGCTCTCTCTCTCTCTCTCCTTTCTTATAGAGTCTTGCTCTGTTGCTCAGGCTGGAACATAGTGGCACCATTATGGCTCGCTGCAGCCTTGACCTTCTGGGGTCAAGCAATTCTCTCACCTCAGCCTCCCAAGTAGTGAGAACTATAAGCACACACCAGCACACCTGGCTCATTTTAAAAATTACTTTTTGTCTGGGTGCAGTGGCTCACACCTGTAATCCCAGTAATTTGGGAGGCCGAGGCAGGTGGACCACAAGGTCAAGAGCTTGAGACCATCCTGGCCAACACGGTGAAACCCCGTTTCTACTAAAAATACAAAAATTAGCTGGGCATGGTAGTGCATGGCTGTAGTCCCAGCTACTCGAGAGACTGAGACAAATAATTGCTTAAACCCAGGAGGCAGAGGTTGCAGTGAGCCGAGATTGCGCCACTGCACTCCAGCCTGGGTGACAGAGCAAGACTCCGTCTCAAAAAAATAAATAAATAAATAAAATTACTTTTTGTAGAGTTGGGGTCTCACTATGTTGCCTATGCTGGTCTCAAACTCCTGGGCTCAAGCGGTCTTCCTGCCTCGGCCTCCCAAAGTGGGATTACAGGTGTGAGCCACCATGCCTGGCCTGGAGCAGGTTTTCTAACAATTCCTCTGTTCCCTTCTCTTCCTCCCTTTCTTGCTCCTTCCACTCCAGTACTTCTAGCCACGTTTCTGCTTCTCTTTCTCCCCTCTTTGATTCTTCCTTTCCGTTCAACCTCTGGCTCAGGCTGGCCAAGTTTCCAAATCAGGGAAGAAATTATTTGCAGAGCTGGTAGGTCTGAAGGACTGTGGCTACTGCAAACCTCAAATGGAATCCACTGCAGCCCCCTCCAGTTGCCTTCCTACTTTGGGCCTCTAAGTTATTCCTGCATTTTTCAGCACTTTCTACTTAGGGCTGTCCTGATCATCGATTCTGAACAAAGTTTCTTTTGTATTCTACATCTGGCCCTTCACCCTTTCTGCAAGGAAAAAATGTCCAAGTCTTTCTGGAAATGTAGCTTAGATACTTGAAATAAAAATGCTCCAATTCATTCATTTGAGCCGATTTTTTTTTAATAGGAATGTGGTGACATAAGACATAATATTAACACATGCCAATAATATTGATGTTAGCTGAGATTACTAGTTTACAATAACGCTATGTATTAACACTATTGACAGCACAAAGTGTTACTATCTTAATTTTATGATTTTTTATTATCATGTAATCAATGCATAGCCTAAAAATTATATAGAGAACATTGGTTTGGGGAGAATAAATCAGAAAGGCAGAGACACTGTAAAGAGAAAATCTAGTTAGGGGCTACTGGAAAAGTACAGACACTAGATGATGAATGCATGAACCAAGCTTTATAATTTGGCATTTGGAATAATTCCACTGTCAACAAAAGCTGTAAGATACTTTGGTAAGGGGGCCGGGCTTGGTGGCTCAGGCCTATAATCCCAGCACTTTGGGAGTCCGAGGCGGGCGGATCATGAGGTCGGGAGATTGAGACCATCCTGGCTAACACAGTGAAACCCCGTCTCTACTAAAAATACAAAAAAGTAGCCGGGTGTGGTGGCGGGTGCCTATAGTCCCAGCTACTCCGGAGGCTAAGGCAAGAGAATCACTTGAACCAGGGAGGTGGAGGTTGCAGGGAGCCGAGATGGCGCCACTGCATTCCAGCCTGGGCAACAGAGTGAAACTCTGTCTCAAAAAAAAAAAAAAAAAAGATATACTTTGGTATTCATAACCAAATCACTAAGTATTGCCACCTTTCCAAATCTGCAGAGTCCCTGGTCTCAGAAGCACACAATCCTAATTTCCCCAGCCCACATTCTCTCATTAAGGCACATTATTTTGTTTTGGATCTCAGCACACAGCTGCCAAACAGAATGCTTCTCCCCAGTGTCCGCCCAATTTTCTGCCTGCCTGGAGCCCGGAAGGTGCACCTGGGCAGAGCCAACGCAGGACACTTGGTGGGACCTCTCTGACCACAGGCTCTCACAGGGAGTGGTCACTTGCCATGAGTAGTATTCAAAACCAGCAAGCAAGGTGTGGTCTGAGCTCCTTTAAGCTCCAGCGTTTGGGGGCTCCTGGTGAGTCCCCAGAGAAGAGTCCAGAAGGAAGAATGGAAGGAGGGTGGCCTGCGAGGGGGGGTGTCCTCCTCTGCCTCACTGTCAGTCTTCGGCTTCAAGGTAAGATGGGACAAGAACAGGGAAGACCAGAATGTGGTTCTGAGGGACACCTGGACTCACCTCTAGCACTTGGAGGGCGTTCAGAATGAACGTGTTAAATATTTCTTCCATAATGTCTGTGTCCTGATTTCCTTTTGCTGACAGGTAGAAAAACATTTCACTGATGAGTACAAACAGACTTTCTCTATTCCTGCCTGCACAGGGATCTATCAAACCGTCTCATTTCACCACTTCTCCAATTCCACCTTTTCACCGACTTCTGATGCTCCTCTGCCTCAACCCTCTTCCCCCCTCCTTGTCTCTGTTTCTCTTGATGTGATATCTATGGGAAGAGTAGCTGCTGATTTTAAACATGCCCTGAGGGAGGGGACAATCTGAGGTGGAAATGAGTAGATATTTTGCTTCCATGAAGTAATATTTGTTCCCAATCTGGGCACGTACCTTAAATATTATGGAAAGAGATGGAGATAGAGAGAAGGAGGCAGAGAAAAGAACCATATAATGATGGCAATGGGGCAAAGATGCCACTCAGGTACTACCCAGATGGCTCCCTGGCCGTGGCCAAGAGACGATATCTGCACCGGTCTCACTTTGTGGTTTTTTGTTTTTTGTTGTTGTTTGTTTTTTGACATGGAGTCTCACTCTGTTGCCCAGGCTGGAGTGCAGTGGCGTGATCTCGGCTCACTGCAACCTCCGCCTCCCAGGTTCAAGTGATTCTCCTGACTTAGCTTCCTGAATAGTTGGGATTACAGGCGCACACCACCACACCCAGCTGATTTTTGTATTTTTAGTAGAGATGGGGTTTCACCATGTTGGCCAGGATGGTCTCGATCTCTTGACCTTATGATCCACCCACCTCGGCCTCCCAAAGTGCTGGGATTACAGGCATGAGCCACCGCGCCTGGCACACCAGCCTCATTTTGTGACTGAACAAATGCTGTATGCTCAGTGATGTCACCTCATGATCCCAATGCTAGAAATAACCCACAAGATAACTGAGGTCACTAAATCTGAGAAGAGCAAAATGAATGCATAGCACCAAGGTAAGCACCTAGTCAGATACCTACTACATTTCCCATATCTACCTAGTAAGCACAGTTGTGTAAAATGTCTCTTATCCTCTTGATAAATCAGTTCTTGCCTTCAGTAGACCTAAGATCCTAAGAGTTAGAGAGAGAAATGCATTAGCATCGATTTTTAGGTGACCTGGACCACAAGATTTGGGCAGTTCTACTGCTAGGTGAGCCAAGAGCCTTGCGACGGGTACATTAAAGGACTCCTGGAAGTAGCTGCCATTGCACTTAAGCCAAGTTTTCATACAGATTTGGGCAAACTTTGCATGAGGATGAAACAATGGGAATGAGAATAGAGCCCTGACCTCAGCTCACCACATCAACTTCCACCATTTGCCTACCAGCCCAGCCCATCATCCCCCAACCATGGCCTTGGGAGTCTTGGCATGGGAAGGAGGGGCTCACCTGCTCCTCTCAGTATATCCCCTATTTTGTCTCTCTGCAGAGAGACTCCAGCCCTGGAAATAGAGTCCCTCTCTCACAGAGTCTCTGCTCTCTATAGGGAAAGGCGACGCTTTTACCATCAATTGCTCAGGCTTTGACCAGCATGGGGTTGACCCTGCTGCCTTCCAAGCAGTGTTTGACAGAAAGGCCTTCTGTCCATTCACCAACTACAGCATCCCTACCCATGTCAATATCTCCTTCACCCTGTCTGCCATCCTGAGAGTGGTGAGATTTAGTCCCTGCATCTTTCCCATGGCTTCTAATAAGGAACAAGGACCCTCTGCCCTGTCAACCCAACATGGCCCTGGCCCCGTGGTGAACAAGAGGTACCCTGGATGGATTTAACACAAGTTAGATGGTTTTCCTATGCAATGGAGAGGCACAAAGAAGAATACTACAGTGATATTTTTTCAGGAAGCCATTTGTCTTTGAATCCTGTCGTTTCTAGAATTCTCTAGAAAAAAGTAGTCTGTATATTAATTAAAATCAGAATTGCCCATAGACACAAGGGAAACAAGTGAGGAAAAGACAATTCAGCATCTACAACAATGCCTGACCCAATAAATTAGTAAATATTGGTGGGAATATGAGGTGGACATGGGCCAAACCTTTTTACACTAATAATCCTGCATGGAAATTTCCTCGTCAGGATGCACAGCTCCAGCTGCTGACGTCATTCCTGTGGATGGATTTGGTAAGGCAGATTCAAGTATCTCCTCCCCACTTCATTTATAATTTTAAGCCTGAGGAGTTAGAAGTGACTTAAAGGGGCCAGGAGCGGTGGCTCACGCCTGTAATCCCAGCACTTTGGGAGGCCGAGGCAGGTGGATCACCTGAGGTCAGGAGTTCGAGACCAGCCTGACCAACATGGTAAAACTCCATCGCTAATAAAAATACAAAAATTATCTGGGTGTGGTGGCAGGTGCCTGTAATCCCAGCTATTCGAGAGGCTGAGACAGAAGAATTGCTTGAACCAGGGAGGCAGAGGTTGCAGAGAGCCAAGATTGTGCCACTGCACCCCAGCCTAGGTGACAAGAGCGAAACTCCATCTCACACACACACACACACGCACAAAAGTGACTTAAAAGTTTTCTAGTTCAAACCTCTACCCAAAGTATAACTTTTTCTGGGATCTGGGACAAAATAACTCCATGTAGAATTGGACTCACCGTGGGAACCTAAACCTCCCCGGGAATCTTAGGAAGGAAGAAATAGCAACTCAAAAAAAAAAAAAAAAATGCTAAGTGGTTGCAGGCCAATATATTGGTGTGGTCCTAGCTCCAGGTGATTTTAGGCCATATTTAATATCTACCTGGCAAAAGCCTATCAAGGGGCACTTTTCTGGTGACACTTTGTTAAATCAAGAATGGGGGTGATAGGCTGTGGTCATTAGGGTCACAAATGGGAGTGGGAGGATCAAGGTGTAAAGAAGAATGGAAAGGGTGGGAGAGGCCGACAGGAGAAGCTCACCATCACTCACCTCTGTCCCTCACTGCCCTGATGCTGGTGTGGGACAATCCTTTCATTAGTTGGAACCCAAAAGAGTGTGTTGGCATCAATAAACTCACGGTATTAGCTGAAAACCTGTGGCTCCCAGACATCTTTATCATGGAATCGTGCGTATCCAGGCTGGGGAAGCCAGCATGAAACCTCATCTGCCAAGAACAGCCTAGGGTCAGCACAGGGCATGGGGCCACCAAAAGATTCAGGCACACAGTCTCGACAAACCGACTTCCACAAATCACTACAAGTAGAAGAGGCGAGAGAGTGACATTAAAGAAAGAGCCCAGGGCCAGGCGAGGTGGCTCACGCCTGTAATCCCAGCAATTTGGGAGGCCGAGGCAAGTGGATCACCTGAGGTCAGGAGTTCGAGACCAGGCTGACCAACATGTTGAAACCATATCTCTAATAAAAATACAAAATTAGCCGGGTGTGGTGGTGGGCGCCTGTAATTCCAGCTAATCGGGAGGCTGAGGCAGGAGAATTGCTTGAACCTGGGAGGCAGAGGTTGCAGTGAGCCGAGATTAAGTCACTGAACTCCAGCCTGGGCAACAAGAGTGAAACTTTGTCTCAAAAACAAAAAATAAATAAAAAGAGAAAGAGCCTAGAAGGAGAGCACAGCAGGGGAGGCCCTGGAAGGAAGGGAGACAAGAGCTGATAAAGCCTCCATCTCTTCCCTTCCTTCCCCAAACAGCATGGATGTGTCTCAGATGCCTTCAGGTCTCACTGCCTATATCAGCAGTGAAGGTCAAATAAAGTACAATAAGCCAATGAGGGTGACCAGCATCTGTAACCTGGACATCTTCTACTTCCCTTTTGACCAACAGAACTGTACCTTCACCTTCAGTTCTTTCCTCCACACAGGTAAGTGTGACACATTTTGGTAGCTGTTTAAGATTCAGGGAAAGACATTTGAGTGGTGTAGGTATCGTTAGAAAAGGTTTTGGATCAGTGTTGCTCCACTCTGGTGGCCTAACAAAGCTTTTTGAAAATACCAATAACTGTCCAGGCACAGTGGCTCACACTGTAATCTCAGCACTTTGGGAGGCAAAGGCGGGACGAACGCTTGTGCCCAGGAGTTTGAGACCAGCCTGGGCAACATAGTGAGACCTCGATCTCTACAAAATATAAAAAGAATTAGCCCCAGCTACTTGGGAGGCTGAGGCAGGAGGATCATTTGAGCCACAGAGGCTGAGGCTGCAGTGAGCTGTGATTGCACACTGCATTCCAGCCTGAGTGACAGAGTGAGACTCTGTTTTTAAAACAAAAAACAGGGCCGGGTGTGGTGGCTTATGCCTGTAATCCCAGCACTTTGGGAGACCGAGGCAGGCGGATCACAAGGTCAGGAGATTGAGACCATCCTGGCTAACACAGTGAAACCCTGTCTCTACTAAAAGTACAAAAAAAAAAAAAAAAATTAGCCAGGCGTGGTGGCGGACAGCTGTAGTCCCAGCTACTTGGGAGGCTGAGGCAGGAGAATGGCATGACCTGGGAGGCAGAGCTTGCAGTGAGCCGAGATCGTGCCACTGCACTCCAGCCTGGGCGACAGAGCAAGACTCCGTCTCCAAAAAGAAAAAAAAAAAAAAAAACAGGCCGGGCGCAGCGGCTCACGTCTGTAATCCCAGCACTTTGGGAGGCCAAGACCGGCGGATCATGAGGTCACGAGATCCAGACCATCCTGACTAACACAGTGAAACCCCGTCTCTGCTAAATATACAAAAAATCAGCCGTTCATAGTGGTGGGCGCCTGTAGTCCCAGCTACTAGGGAAGCTGAGGCAGGAGAATGGTGTGAAACTCGGGAGGGAGAGGTTGCAGTGAGCCGAGATTGCACCACTGCACTCCAGCCTGGGCGACAGAGCGAGACTCTGTCTCAAAAACAAAACAAAACAAAAACAAAAACAAAATCCTAATAACTGCACATCACCCCAGATGCCAATTAAATTGTCCCAAGTGGGGCCCAGGTGATGCTAACATGCAGACAGGGTTAAGAACTTCTGCTTTACAAGCTGGGCGGCCCTTGTGCCAAATGAGGCCCAGCTGACTCTGAGCTGCTGCACACCTATAATTTTTAGCTCAAATCTTTTAACTCTAATAGCTAACACACTTAAAAACCGGTAAATTAATAAAACCGAATGCCACCAGGTGTCACGTGGCAGATTTGGATAAACTAAAACCATCAAAGTGGGCATGCATATAATTATTAAAATATTGAGCTCTTCAAGCTTGATTCCACTAAAACACCACCATACAACTGGGGGACTGAGAAGGAAAATAGGAACGACTCCAAAAGTTCTTGACTCACATTTGAGTCATATCCAATATTCCCATAATGAACTAGATTCACTCTTGTTTTCAACAACAAAAGAAATTAATGCTGCTGCCCACACACATATGAATTGCTAGTCAGGTAACCCACTTCTGAGAAAACCAGAATACCCTGCTTTAAAAGGACAGACGAAAATTTGTTTTAGAAGCTCAGTGGGGGAGGAATCCAATTTCGTGGGCAGACTTACCTGTGTAGTAATGAACTGACCGGCCTCCCTTCCAGTGGACGGCATGCTGCTGGGCATGGACAAGGAGGTGTGGGAGATCACAGACACGTCTCACAACGTCATCCGAACCCAGGGGGAGTGGGAGCTCTTGGGCATCAACAAGGCCACCCCAAAGATGTCCATGGGCAACAACCTATATGACCAGATCATGTTCTATGTGAGTCCAGGGGTCCCTGTTTGACTTCTGATCCCAGCAGCTTCGTGATTGTCCTCTTGACCTAATGCTCTTTGGGAAGTGAAAAAGAAGCTCCAGGCCGGGATCAGTGGTTCACACCTGTAATCCCAAGACTTTGGGAGGCCGAGGTGGGCGGATCACCTGAGGTCAGGAGTTCAAGACCAGCCTGGCCAACATGGTGAAACCCTGTCTCTACTAAAAAAAAAAAAAAATTAGCCAGGTGTGGTGGTACATGCCTGTAGTTCCAGCTACTCGGGAGGCTGAGACAGGAGAATCGCTTGAACCCAGGAGGTGGAGGCTGCAGTGAGCTGAGATGGTGCCCCTGCACTCCAGCCTGGGCAAGACAGTGAGACTCCATCTCAAAAAAAAAAAAAAAAGTTCCAGAGGGTTGGGCGCCTGCTCCCCACTGCCCCATCTACCTAATTACCCTGAAGCAGGATCCCCAAGGCCTCCCCCGCTCCCCATTCACCCACTCCTCATTCACCCGCTGCTGTTCTGGAGAGGGGAGGAATGGCTGGACTGTAATAAGCCCTGCCACTCAGAATGGAACAGCTCACCCCTACTGCTCACAATGACTTCAAGGGTCCACTTGCACCTAAAATTCTCCAGTCATTGTGTTCCTAGTAGGTTAAAAATGAATGCAAATTAGACAACAAATCAGAGGCCGCTATGTAGACGAGCACAATTAAATGTGCAAATGTTACTTAAAAAGATCGTCCCCAGCAGCCTCACAGCACATTGGCAAGGATTAGGGGTCAGATATACAAATTGAGCCCTCTGCCATCTATTTATCTGCCATCTTCTCTGGTCTCTTTCCAGGTGGCCATCAGGCACAGGCCCAGCCTCTACATCATAAACCTGCTGGTGCCCAGTAGCTTTCTGATTGCCATTGACGCCCTCAGCTTCTACCTGCCAGCAGAGAGCGAGAATCACGCCCCATTCAAGATAACGCTTCTGCTGGGCTGCAACGTCTTCCTGCTCATGATGAATGACTTGCTTCCTGCCAGTGGCAACCCCTTCATCAGTATGGCTCCTCCCACTTTCCGGAGGAGAAAAGGCACCCAGGGCCAGGGAGGAGGGCCAGGAGAAATGGCTGCTGCTCCGCCGAAGGAAGGAAGGAAGGGGCTGTGAAAGAAGACTGGATTTAGGAAAGAGGCATGAGAAATACTTACAGATAAATTTGCCTGGTTTACTTATAATTTGTTCTGCCCTCAGGTGTCTACTTCGCCCTGTCCCTCTCCCTGATGGTGGGCAGCCTGCTGGAGACCATCTTCATTACCTACCTGCTGCACGTGGCCACCACCCAGCCCGCACCCCTGCCTCTGTGGTTCCACTCCCTGCTGCTCCACTGCACCAGCCCAGGGAGATGCTGTCCCACTGCAGCCTGGAAGGGAAATAAAGGCCTGGGTCTCACCCCCACCCACCTGCCTGGTGAGGGAAGTCAGCACTGCCCACACTCCTCTAATCCTGTCCCTTCCCACTTCATGGCGGAGCCTCTGTCCTCTCCACAGGCACAAAGGAGGCGGGGGAGTTAACAGGGAAGCAGCTGGGACCCAGAGAGACCGAGCTAGATGGGGGCTCAGGATGCACAAAGACCCAGCTAATGGAGCAGTGGGTGCAGTTCAGCCACGCGATAGACACCCTGCTCTACCAGACTCACTTTCCTTATCTTAGCCACTTATCCCCAGTGACTACCATGTCCCCTTCTAAATTCCAAAAACTCCAGCACAGTACTACCAAGCAGGTTCAGGATGGCCCTGGACAATTTCCTGTCTGTTGCTCAGGCTGCATATTCCTGCTCACCTTCAGTCTCCCTGAGCTACCACCTAACTCCTCACTCCCTGATCAATGGAAGTCCAGGTCAGTGGAGTCTCTCCTTGATCAATCACCCCAATAAACAACTTTCCAGGAACTACTGGCTCTTCAGTTTGTTTGTTTATTTATTTATTTATTGAGACAGAGTCTTGCTCTGTCACCCAGGCTGGAGTGCAGTGGTGCCATCTCAGCTCACTGCAACCTCCACCTCCCAGGCTCAAGTGATTCTCATACCTCAGCCTCCTGAGTAGCTGGGATTACAGGTGCACACCATCACACCCAGGTAATTTTTGTATTTTTAGTAGAGACGGGGTTTCGCCATGTTGGCCAGGCTGGTCTGGAACTCCTGACCTCAAGTGTTCTGCCTGCCTCGGCCTCCCAAAGTGCTGGGATTACAAGCGTGAGCCACCTCATCCAGCCCTCTTCGTTATATTTATTACAAACTCTGGGGTGGAGACTCCTCTTGCAGAAGCTTTGATACTTCCCCCTAAGCAGGTGTAATCTGATGTGATGTTAAGGGTTTTAGACACTTTCAGAGTTTTATAAGAATAAGAAAGACAAGTCTTATTTGTGAGAAATTATTTCATTTGCAATAAAATATTTACAAATGCAAAGTGTTCCTTTCAGCAACCATTTCTTTTTCACTTTCCTTCACCTCTCATTCCTGAAATTGCTCTTTAAAATAAATCATACATTATGTCATTCTTTTTTATTCTAACGGGTTTCTCTTACTTCATAACATCAAACAGAGTGGGATTTCTAAATATGCGTGCTTGAGGCTGGGTGGCTTATGCCTGTAATCCCAGCACTTTAGGAGGCCAAGGAGAGAGGCCAGGAGTTTGAGCCCAGCCTGGGCAACAAAGAGAGACCTTGTCTCTACAAAAATAATAATTAACTAATTAATTAATTAAAAATTAGCCAGGTGCAATGGTACATGCCTGTAGTCCTAGCTACTCGAGGGACTAAAGTAGAAGGATCGCTGGAGCCCAGTTCAAAGTTACAGGGAGCCATGATCGCACCCTTGCAATCCAGCTTGGGCAACAGAGCAAGAACCAGTCTCTTAAAAATAAAATAAAACCAAAAAAAAGTTTTTTAAGTTCCCTGTTAATAGTAGTTCACAGCAGGGCTCGGTAGCTCATGCCTGTAATCCTAGCACTTTGGGAGGCTGAGGCGGGCGGATCTCAAGGTCAGGAGTTCAAGACCAGTCTGGCCAATATGGTGAAACCCCATCTCTACTAAAAATACAAAAACTAGCCGGGCGTGGTGGTGGGCACCTGTAGTCCCAGCTACTTTGGAGGCTGAGGCAGAAGAATTGATTGAACCTGGAAGGCGGAGGTTGCAATGAGCCGAGATTGTGCCACTGTACTCCAGGCTGGGTGACAGAGCAAGACTCTGTCTCAAAAAAAAAAAAAAGTATTTCACACTTTCATCAGCAGCTATAATCATGGGAGAATTCTAATAGCTAGCTGCGAGCAAGACCCTGAGGAGAAACAGAAATTGAAAGGGAAAGTCAAAAAACACCAGAGACAAATTTCTGGATATTTCAATTGGATAAACACATTTCAGGGATTTATTCGTTTACCCTTCTGCCTCCCCTAAGAGTGTGCTTTCATAAAGATCAGGGTCAATGTCTCATCCATTTTTGTAGTTTAGCGCATGGTACCACATCTGGCACATCATGGATACTTAATACAGACTTGGGTTTTTTTGTTTTTTTCTTTCCAGCTTTTAGGTTCAAGGGGTACATGTGCAGGTTTGTTACCTGGATAAATTACATATCGCAGGGGTTTGGTGTACAGATAATATTGTCATCCAGCTTAATATCCGATAGGTAGTTTTTTTTGTTTGGTTGTTTTTTTTTTTTCTTTTTTTTCTTTTTGTTTTTTTTTTTGTTGTTGAGATAGAGTTTTGCTCTTGTTGCCCAGGCTGGGGTGCAATGGCGTGATCTTGGCTCATGGCAACCTCCACTTCCCGGGTTCAAGCTATTCTCCTGCCTCAGCCTCCCAAGTAGCTGGGATTACAGGCGTGCACTACCATGCCCAGTTAATTTTGTATTTTTAGTAGAGACGTGGTTTCTCCATGTTGGTCAGGCTGGTCTCAAACTCCTGACCTCAGGTGATCCGCCTGTCTTGGTCTCCCAAAGTGCTGGGATTACAGGTGTGAGCCACTGTGCCCGGCCACCTGATAGGTAGTTTTTCAATCATCATCCTCCCCCCACCCTCCATCCTCAAGTAGGCCCCAGTGTCTATTGTTCCCTTCTTCGTGTCCATGTGTATTCAGTGTTTAGCTCTCGCTTATAAGTGGGAACATGAAGTACTTGGTTTTCTTTTTCTTTTTGAGATGGAGTCTCGCTCTGTCACCATGCTGGAGTGCAGCAGCACGATCTCAGTTCACTGCAACCTCCACCTCCCCGGTTCAAGTGATTCTCCTGCCTCAGCCTCCCCAGTAGCTGGGACTACAGGGGCCCGCCAACATGCCCAGCTAATTTTTTGTATTTTCAATAGAGACAAGTTTCACCATGTTGGCCAGGATGATCTCAATCTCTTGACCTCGTGATCCACCTGCCTCAGCCTCCCAAAGTGCTGGGATTACAGGCATGAGACAATGTGCCCGGCCTTTACAAGCACCCACCACTACACCCGGCTAATTTTGTATTTTTAGTAGAGACAGGTTCTCACTATGTTGGTCAGGCTGGTCTCAAACTCCTGACCTCAGGTGATCCACCTGTCTCGGCCTCTGAAAGTGTTGGGATTACAGGCTGAGCCACTGCGCCTGGCAGTACTTAGTTTTCTGTTCCTGTGTTAATTCTCTTAAGATAAGGCCTCTGGCTCCATCCATGTTTCTACAAAGGCCATTATCTCCTTTTTTATGACTGTGTAGTATTCCATGTGCATATGTACCGTATTTTCTTTATCCAGTCTACCATTGATGTGCTTCTAGGTTGATTCCATGTCTGCTATTGTGAATAGTCCTAAAATGAACATACATTTGCATGGGTCTTTATGGTAGAATGATTTACATTCATTTGAGTATATATCTGTGATAGAATTGCTGGGTCAAATGGTAGCTCTATTTTAAGTTCTTTGAGAAATCTCCACACTGCTTTCCACAGTGGCTGAACTAATTTGCATTCCCACCAGCAGCATATACATGTTCTCTTTCCTCCACAACCTCTCCAGCATCTGTTATTTTTTTCCAACTTTTACATAACAGCCAATCTGACTGGAGTGAGATGATATGTCATTGTAGTTTGGATTGCATTTCCCTAACACTTAGTGATATTGAGCATTTTCTCACATTCTTCTTGGCCACACATGTGTCTTCTTTTGAGAAGTAAATACAGCCTTGTTGAATGAGTAAATGTGTGAATGAATGCCAGCCAGCCAAAATCCACATTTTACTAGCTCTAACTGTAAATCCCTTCCCAACATATTTTATTTTATTTTCTTTATCAAATGTGGAAAATTAACGCAACACATCTTCATGTGTCAACTATCTCTGAGTTCTTGGAGATGTTACTTATATCCTGGCAAAGGCATTTCTGATATCAGATTCTCTTGTTTCCTTCTTCTTTCCATTACTTGGAACATATTTCCCACTCAGAAACTCACTTGGTTTTTGCCAATAACTTAAAATGAAGAATGTCTATTAAGCCATTGAGGAATTTCAAATTTCTTAAGATCACTTTTTTATGATTTATTTTCCTTCCCCATTTCCACATTTATATTTCTCTAGATGTCATCTTGCGATTTTTTTCATACATATGCAACTTGAGGTTTTCCATGCTAAGACTTTTGTTTGACAATGCCCTTTGCAAAAGAACATTCTGCTGATATGTTCAGGTGGAAGTGAGACTTGTGGGGTAAAATATGACCTGACAATGAGGCAAAATATATTAAACTACTACTAGCCAACATAGGCCAGCAGGAACATTAGCGGTGTTTCACAATTTGGGAGGGAATGGTTGTGGTTTCTGATATCTCTCATTTTAAAAAAGAGAAAATGAGGGGTGTAGTGGCTCATGCGTGTAATCCCAAAACTTTGGAAGGCCTCGGCAGGAGGATTGCTTCAGCCCAGGAGTTTGAGATCAGCCTGGGCAACATAACAAGACTTCTTTTCTACAACAGCGACAACAACAAACAAAAATCAGCTGGGCATGGTGGCGTGTGCCTGCAGTCCCAGCTACTTGAGGGGCTGAGGTGGGAGGATCGCTTGAGCCCAGGAGGTCTACAGTGCAGTGCGCTGTGATCGCCCCACTGCACTCCAGCCTTGGCTACAGAGTGAGACTCCGTCTCAATAAAGAAATAAATATACACACACACACGCGCGCGTACACACACACACACACACACACACACACACACACAGTAGCCCTTGTGATCATAACTTTATTTTTTGTCCTTTATTTTTTATTAAAAACCTCTGTAGGTGTGTACATTGGAAATTTATGAACTCTGTAAAAATCAGACAATTGGCCCTGGATACACTACTCTCATCAAATGCTTGATTATTGTCTAACTTCTTGGGTAATTTCTACTCATGTCCCACTCTTTCCTTTCCTTGGCAGCATCTAGGGTCATGCTCACAACCTCTTCACGTCTCATTGTTTATTTTCTTTCTTTCTTTCTATTCTTTTTTTTTTCCATGGAGTCTTGCTCTGTCTCCCAGACTGGAGTGCAGTGACGTGATCTTGGCTCACTGCAACCTCCGCCTCCCGGGTTCAAGCGATTCTCCTGCCTCAGCATCCCAAGTAGCTGGGATTACAGGCATCTGCCACCAGGCCTGGCTAATTTTTTTTTTTTTTTTTTTTTTTTTTTTAGTAGAGACAGGGTTTCACCATGTTGGTCAGGCTGGTTTTGAACTCCTGACCTCTGGTGATCCAGCCGCCTCGGCCTCCCAAAGTGTTGGGATTACAGGCGTGAGCCACCACGCCTAGCCAATTTTCTTATTATTTAAATAATTCTCAGAAGACTTTCTCCAAGAATAATTTCTTCCTACTTATTCTTTCAGTAGTTCATATATCTGACCATTCTTATGGTATGTTTTTTGGGTTTTTTTGTTTTTTTGTTTTGTTTTGTTTTG